ACAAGAATGCACCTTACTCGACTTTTCTCAGTTACTAATTCTTGAAGATTATTACATACATAGTATTTTCTCCACCAATGGAATGTTTTTTCTAACTTTTATTTAGGTTCCTGAACTTTCTAAAAATATGCTAATAATACTCTATAAATTTTTGAGCTTTACAACCTCCTATCCATAATATAAATTAGTTTGGTCGAAGATTGCTCATGTATAACTTTCTCACGCTTTTGTTGCATTACTCTAACATCTTTAGTCATGTAATTTCTTGCCAATTTTTAATTCTAGATCTCAGAGTGGTCTTATTATATTATTATCGATGAGTTCTTCTAGAAGATCAAATTGCTATACATGTTCAAATGATCGCTGAATTTAATCCGGGAATACAAAAGCACATTCGTCAAATTCAAAATAAAGAAATTCATTATCATTTTATTGGACACAAAATTCAAAATGAATTGATGAGAAGGTTGAGATATGATTGTTTGATACAAAGGATTTAAATTGAAAGTTTGGTCTTCTTGTTAAAAGGAATTGAAGTTCATCCTAAATTTCGTATCAATTATTTGTTCTTAGAGGTGGAGTCCGAAGGATTATTTTTTTATATTGGACTAATATATAGATTTTTTTTCTCTATAATCTTAGAAAACTAAGGGAAGGTGTATTCAATTGAAACTTTTAATGACTTTTTGGGATTTAAAAAGTTTAGAGGTATTCAATTGAGACTTTTTGAGACTCACTAAAAGTCACGGTGTATTCAATTAAGACTTTTATAGACTTTTAAAAAGTCTCTAAAAGTTACGGTGTATTTAATTAAAACTTTTTAGAAATTTCTATAAGTCTTGTGGTATTCAAATTTAATGACTTGTAGAGATTTATATAAAAGTTTCTGGAATACTAACTTTTAGGCAAAAAGTACTCATATAATATCTTAAAATTTGTCTTTCATTAATCATGAGATTTTGGGAGGCTTTAAAAAAAAAATCTTTTTTTTTCCAATCTTTTTTTCCTTTAACCTTCTATGGACATGTTAAAATTTATTTTTTTCTATTTATTATATTCCATTTATTTTTCTTTCTCTCTCTTATTATTTATCACTATTTTCTATGAAAAAATAAAATTGGATTCTCGTAACTTTTTTTTCTTTTTTCATTCATTTTTTGTGAAAAATATTATTTTTTTAGTAAATTATAAAATTTTATATGAAAAACTATATATGTGTATAGTTTTGATTATTAATTATTTAATTAAGGTCTTGAATTTTTATTTTTTCAAATTTTTTTTTTATTATATGGGAAGAAGAAGGGGAATGAAAAAGGAAATTATGGGAACTAACACATCATATACTAGAATTTCACACCAAATTCATGTGAATTCTATTTTAAATATAAGTTTTCAAAAGTCTTTTAAATTTCACAAAAGTCTATAAAAATTTCAAAATGAAAACTCATAAAAGTTTACGAAAGACTTCCACTAATTCCAAACAAATCTTTAAAAGATTAATGAAATCCACAAAAGTTATCACTTAAAAAAAGTCCATCAAAATCTTCAAAAGTCTCAATTGAATACACTCCCCTAAATGTGTTGGCGGCTTTCTAGGGCCCGTTTTGATAATGTTGCTTTGATTTTGATAAGTTCGAAAAGTGTCTAATCACGAGTATGATATTTCATTTATTATTTTCTAAACATTATAGGTTGGTAAATAAATGTTCGAAGATGAACTTATATGTCGGACCCGGTTCATTTAATTAACATTTGGCCACCTGTCAATTTAAGAATGTTTTGAGGGGAAATTGCAGCAACGGTCCCAAACATTTTCAATTTTTACAGACTTTACCTTAACTTTTAATTTGTGTCACTTACAATCGCCAACCTTTCAAAAATATACACCTGATGTCCAAATGGATGGAAACCGTCCAATTGATCGTTAGTTGACCATAAAAGTCAAAATTTAATCAATTTTGACCAAATTAGAAAGGGTAAATTTGTACTTTATATTTTCCTTACACTAAATAAGTTAAAAAATTAAATTTACAAACTAAAAAATAAAAATAGATTTAAAAAAAATAAACATCTTGTCCAATCAACCCTTCTTCTCCAAAATCAGTCCACCACCATCACCTGCTATCGTCGACAACGGCCGCTACCATCGCCCACTGCCGTCGATGATAGCCACCACTATCGCTAGTTGTCGCCGACAATAGCCACTACTATTGCCTGGGCGGTCTACAACAACCACCACCACCTAACTCTCATTTCCAAAAACATCCGGTCCACCACCATCTAACTCTCTTTCCCCAAAATCAGTCTACCACCTTCATCCATCTCCGACTACAACAGTCACCACCACCCAATTCTCCTTTCCCAAAACTCTCCTCCTCTAAAACATTTTGTCCACCACCAGCCGATCATCCTTCTCCAAAATCAGTCCACCACCATCACTCATCGATGCCTACAATAATCACCACCACCCAACTTTCTTTCCCCAAAACATCTTGTCCACCACTAGTCGACCCTCCTTCCCCAAAATCAGTCCACCAACATCGCCCGTCGTCCAGTTCGCAAGATGACGTTGAGATTATCACTTACTACAATTCAAAACCCAAATAGAATAATCAAATGAAAAGGCAAAGAAATTGAGATCTAAGCTGGGAAAATTGGAAGGATCTCCTTGGGTTCGATGAGTTGACTCTGCGATCAAAGCGAGTGCGGTGCTGGAGTTGGATTGGCACTGTTGATGGTTGATTTGGGAGAAGGGGTGAGAAAGAAGGGTGGGTGCTAGCATTTGGTTTTTTTATTTTTATTTCTTTTCTCTCTTTTATTTTCTTTTTGGTTTGTTTAAATATGTATATAATAACAAAATTGCCATTAAACCCATTTCGATCTGGTCAAAATTAGTCAAAATTTACCTTCCTTGGTCAACTAATAGTCAACTGGACAGTTTCGATCCATTTAGACCCCAACTGCATATTTTTGAAAGGTTTGAGAAGTGTGGATGGAAAAAATTGAATGTTAGAGTAAAGGTGCAAAAATTGAAAAGGTTTGGGACCAATACTGCAATTTTTCCATGTTTTGAGTCTAGCAAACTTTTATTCATGTAACTTTTTATAGTTATTATTTTTTGCATGTTTGGCTTAGCTTAGAACTCTATTTTTAAATAAGTAACTAAGATGAACATAATTATATCTTGAAACTAATTTTCAAGTAATTTTTCTTATAAATTTGTTCTAATAGAACATTCTAATAAACACGAATCTCTTTATACATTGAGGATAAGGTAGGTGTTTAGATTCTCTCAATCTATCACTGAATAAGTATCATATTCACTTATTTATCTCTAATTTTTTTAATTTTTATCGTGTAAACCTAGTTTTTCATGCATTCACTTTAACATTGTATTCATGATACACTCGTTATATGAGCATTTTATTCTTTAACAACACAATGCTAAATAACATCATACGTAACTAGTCTAATAATTATTTTTAAAACATTAAGTCTTTGTTTGATAGCGATTAAAATATCTAGATTTTAATCTAAAATAAAGACAATAATTAATTTTTAACACATTTTTACGTGACCTAATGACATAGTTCATCAATTTTTATTAAAATTTACTAAAAATCTGATTTTAGTCCCAAATAAATATTCATGTATACAAGTTGATAATATGTACTTACAAATAAATAGATTAATACCAAATTGCAGCCCCACATAAACTAACGGTCGAATTAAGAGTGCGAGAAGTCAAAGGAGCGCATTGTGCGCAAGAAAGGACCCCCCGGGGCCAGGTTACCGTTACGAAAATTAAATATGCAAGGTAATGAAAAAAACAATCTTCAGCTAATATCCACTATTTTTCCTTTTTCTTTTTTATTTTAATATTGTTTAAAGTTATTTAGTCCATTTCACCATTTTTTTAAAAGTTATTTTTCTTCAAATTCATTTTTAATCACATATTTTATAGAATTAATAATTTTTCAATCGCACATTTAATTAATTATTATCAAAATCTACAAAAAAAATCTAATTTTAACTAAATTAAACAAGAACTTAATCTTTCTTTTATCGAACATGGTATAAATTACATTCAGGGGCATAGAATTCCAGAGCAGCACAAGTCCAATTAATTTATTTTTTTTATAGGTAAACAATAATTTTTTATAGAAGAAATTTTATATATTAGTCAAATACCAAAAATGATGTAAATAACTTATAAAAATATGTTGTTAGACCCTGATTGACATCATTATTTGAAAAATTAAAGAGTTTTGAATATTATTTTTAAAAATATGTGGTTAAAAAATAAGAAAATTTTATTGATTTGTGTGTAGAATATTTTATTGTGTGAATGATTAGTTGAGAATGATACCGTAACAAATAATTTAAATTTTTAAAAATTGTCATAGTGGGTATATATCTTCTTTCCGATTAATTTACTTCTATTTCTTTCCGAAACAGGCATTTAGGAAAAAAAATATTTTATGTAAATCTTTGAAGGAGTTTTCATCCCTCGTGATTATTGATTACTTAATATTTATTTTCCTTAAAGACACGAGTTATATGAATTATATATTAATTGAGTTTTGCAGAAAATAAAATTTCCATAAATAAATAGCCATGGGAATATAAATAGGGCGTTCCATTAATTTTTCAGCAGGGTTTATTGGAAGGAAAGATAGGTAGAGAGCGAAACTTCCAAATCTTCTAAATCTTCTAGTGTTAGGAAGAAGCGGAGATACCAACTCCCAACAACCCATTGAAAGCTCTCTTGAATCTTGACACTTGAGGCAAGTCCTTTGCAAATTGCTTTTCTTCTGTATAGGCGTATAATCTTTCACTCAATTCCCTTTACTATTGGGGTTTCTTGATTCTTCGTATGATTCCCCTTCATTTTAATTTTTGGGTTTATCTTGAATTAAAATATTATCCGATCGTGCTTAATCTTGATTCTGATTTGTTTTCCATGTCATGGTTATCTTCAGTTTGATGTCCCAGTAAGCAATTCGGAGAATTCATTATTGTTTGAGGTGAGTGTAAAGAGGGCTAATAAGTTTTGTTATTTTTTGCTTTTCTATTTCTTCTTGATTTGGGGTTTTCATTTGTGTGGTGGATTTTAAGATTAGATTTTTGGTTGATGAATCCAAATTTGATATACTACTTTTCGAAGGTTTGTTGCTACATATTGATTAGTTTGGCTTTTACTGTTTTATCAGTTTCAAGGTTCTTCAAAGCTTTGGTCTGAAGGGTTCTGTTTATTTTATTTGTATTTAAGTCCAACGCAATCTTGTGGTAGTGAGTTATTGGTTTAAGTTGAGAGAGATGTATATTATCGAACAACTGCAAGAGGAGGGATCGGAGAATGGAGCAGAGGAGCAAGGGAGTGGTGATATCAGTGAAGATGCTGCTGTTTCTTGGGAGGCAAAAAGGGTTTTGGTCGGTGCTGGAGCGCGTGCACTTTTCTATCCCACATTGTTGTACAATGTTGTTAGAAACAAGATTCAGTCTGAGTTTCATTGGTGGGATAGGGTTGATGAGGTATAACTATTACATTAGACTGCTTTAGATTATCTATCTTATTTCTTGCTCATCTTTTTCGTGTATTTGATTATAGTCTTAATTGTTAAGTATATCTTTACGCTAATGATCATTTGTGTCTTCTTGTTGTATGTCATACCACTGAGTTTCTCCCCTAGAGTTTTGATTATAGAAATTTATTTAAGCAATTGTTAGAATTAAATTTGAATTAATAGGTCGTTGCTTTTAAAGTTTCTAATATCTGAGTTTATCATATTGTTGATTCAGCCATGTAATGCCCGTTACTACTTATTGGGGCACTTGTCCTTGGGCAAAATCTTTGCTTATACTTTTTTCTTGATTTTAGGATATGGTTTTTTAACACAACATGCTGCTTGTTATTACAAAATTTGAAGTAAAAAGTTATGAAAAGTTTTTCCTTTATTTTGTTATCAAACAACTGGGGAGGGGTAACAAACATTACTCTTGGGATTTCATTTTAGTCAACTCTAGGTAACTTCATTCATGAAAGCATGCTAACTAAATTGAGCATGAGTGGAGGGAAACATGATTTACCTCCATAATGCAACAGTTGAAGCTATAGTGAGAGTTTTTTTTTTTTTTTTTTTTTTGGGTTTTTTTTTTTTTTTTAAATTTTAATTTTTTTTTTTTTTTTTTTTTTTGGGTATATTCATTTTTCTTAAATGTTAACTTTCTCATATTCTCTTCTCTATTTTTGTCAGTTCGTTCTGTTAGGAGCTGTTCCATTTCCTACTGATGTTCCACGCTTGAAGGCTGTTGGTGTTAGCGGAGTGGTTACCTTAAATGAACCATACGAGACTTTGGTTCCAACGTCATTATATCATGTAAGCTTAAATTTCTTTGTAATTATAAATTTTCCTATTCCTATTTTCCGAATGCATTGCAAATGTTTCGAAAGGACTAAACAATTTGGATGTATCTGCATCCAATTGGTGCCAGTATATCCTGCTTTTGTCATTTGTGTTAGTTTCTTTGACTACTGAGGATAATCTATATCTTCTTATCTCAGTATTTACATATCCCAGTAGAATTTTAAATGCATGTGATGCATCAGTGAATTAATTTGAAATATAATTCCCATGCATACATATGTTTAAAATCATTATCTAATCTGATGATTATGTCAGTGGTAATTGTTACAACACTTCTGAAGTTGCATTGATGTGCACCATTAGGTGCATTGTCTCGTTGACTCTTTCCTCTGCAATGGATTGTAAATATAAGTGTTCAATCTGTTTGTAGGATAATAGCATTGAGCACTTGGTCATTCCTACAAGAGATTATCTTTTCGCTCCATCGTATGGGGATATTGACCAGGCTGTAGAATTCATCCATGGTAACTATTGTTTCCAATACTATCCGGAGATCCAAACTTCAGTTTTTCTTTTACCAAAACTACAAAAGCACTTGTTCTCATATTTGTTCTCCAAGTTTAATTAAGTTGGATTTTGCATCCTGAGTAATTTTTTCCACTTTCTTCTGTTTGGTTTTTAAAGATAACGCACTTTGTGGAAAAACAACATATGTTCACTGCAAAGCTGGCCGAGGCCGCAGCACTACCGTTGTACTCTGTTACCTGGTGCGCTGAACTGCATAGAACCCAATATATTTATTTATTTTGGAGATTCATATTCTAATAAATCCCCTTTAAAACAGGTTAAACACAAGCTGATGACCCCTGATGCCGCATACAATTATGTGAGGACCATTAGGCCAAGGGTCCTGTTGGCACCTTCCCAGTGGCAGGTGTGGTTGATTATCTTAGTATAGTTTATGCTTGATGAATTTTCCGTGGACCTTTGCTGTTGATATGGTGTTCTTTTAAGAATCGTATTGGTTATATAATGATTGTTATTGGAACCTGACAACATCTATTCTCTGTTATGAGGAAATGCAGGCTGTTCAAAATTACTATCACGGACTGAAGAAACCCAAGAAAGACATTGGCACGGAATGTTCCCTAAATAGAAGTTTAGGTTCCTCAAAAACGTTAGACCTGGAAGACTTTGATGCTGATGATGACTCTTTGGTGCTGGTAACTGAATCAGACCTTGACGGATACGAGGAAAACCATGCTGATATCCCTGGTAAAAACATGCTGGCTGAAGGAGCAATTGCCCGACTCTCATGCCTTTGGCTTCGTTGCCAGTCAGGGCAGAAAGTGCTGAAAAAGAATCTTGGAAGCCCTGCTCGGAACAGTGAGATGAGAAGCGTGGGTGTTGATATTATTCGTGTTTGTTGAGCGACTTTCATGCCTTTGGCTCCGTTGCCAGTCAGGGCAGAAAGTGCCAAAAAAGAATCTTGGAATTCCTGCTCGGAACAGTGAGTTGAGAAGTGTGGGTGTTGATATTATTCGTGTTTGTTGAGACGAATGTTCACCAGAGTCTGAATGTGCCCCCCCTTCCCCCTCTCCCCAGCCTCTTTATGTTTTTTCTTCATTTTGGATCCGTGCAAAAACCATCACATTTAGGGATGTTGGCTTATGGAAGCTCCTTTGCACACATGGTACAGGTTTCAGGAAGTCGGATTTAGTAAGTGTCGATAGAGAGTTTACTCTGTGTACTTGGTTGAGTTGTTTCTATGAGTGGGAATAAGATTATAGTCTGTGTACGTAAATGAGTTGTTCTACGAGTCCGGAATAAGCAGGAGGTTCGTTTATGTACCGAAGCTGATTTAATGGAAACCAGTTTCTGTATCTCGTTCTCTGTTCTGATGGGAATTTTTGTTATTATTTAGGGAGAGGAATGTTTAAAAATTTAATACCTTATCAACATTGTATAACGGTTATTGAAATTTTGCTGCTTATAATTGCAATGGTTATTTGATACCTGGACCTGTAAATTAATAAAATGTTCAGTATTACAAAATACATTTTTTTTCTCACAAAGGGGCTTAATGACACTGTCACAAGTGTATACATTAAATATTAAAACTGAATTAATGTTTTTATTTTATTTTTATATTATTGTAATTACAAGTTTAAATTGCACCTTAGTCTCCAACCTCGCCTTCCCCAGCTTTTTTCTTGTTACATTTTTGCCTCCGGCCTTTCCGTAAATGGTCGGCCGCTTGATAAGGAATAAGAGCTGAAAAGGGGAAATGCCTTCCACAATATGCTATGAGGATGTTCATTTATATACAGAAAATACATGTGTAAATATAGAAACAATATACACAATAGCTATGATGATGGATCAGATTGTGAGGATCAGCTGTGATGGTGGAGAATCAATTATGATGGTGGATCAGATTGCGTGCTAACAAGAGCATTTTCAAAAGATTTTTTAAATACAAAATACTCTTTATTTTGGAGAGTTAATGCTTAAAAATGAGCTCCAAAAAACTCTATTTTAATTTTTTAAAGTGGAGAATGTATTTGACTCTCCAAATTTAGAGAGTCAAACCCACTCTTTATTTTTAATGTACAATAATTGCATTTAATAAATTACAAATTTCAGTACCCTACAATTTAAAATTTTCAAATTACATTTGAATTGATTGGTCATTAATATATAAAAAAATTATATTTAAATAAAATATATAAAGAAATTATTAAATGTTCATTGGAAAAAACAAAATAAATAATCAAAATAGAAAACTTATTGAAGTGTAAAAAAAATTACTATATAAAGTTAAAGATGCTCTCTATTATGCATAAGTTGCTCTTTATAAATATTGAGTCTTTTCGAAATGCTCGAATGTATAATGAATTATAGAGCCTGGAGGCGGAACTGATAAGTGAAAAAATATTTTATTGCAAAATATTAATAGAATCATGCTACAAAATAGGTTTAAAAACAAGGTGTACATGTGTCAACACATAATTGGATTGTTTGAAAAATAAATATTTTTTCACCTATTTTTGAGCATAGACAAACATCATATTCGAAAGAATTGATAGTTCAATGGAGGTTGCGGACGTGTAGGTTGAGGAGGGAGATGGAGAAACAAATCTCGCCTATGACCTTCATTTTCATTATTTTATTTTGAATATGGATTGCCATTTCTTTTTATACTCTTTTTTGAACGCAACTATGGATCCACGTTTATACCTGATTTGCCTTATTATTCGTCCATACCCGAGCATTATCCTCGATGACTGGAAATACCTCACTCACCATATTGCAGCTTGATGTCCTCGAGCATTGTTCTCGATGACACATGCTTGAGGATGCGCTATCGTGTGACGACGGTGTTGTACGCCTGATGTCCTCGGGATATAATGTCCTTGAGAATTCCTCTCTTCGAGCTGCTTGGGTTTGATCCAATAGGATTCCTATCTACTTGGAACTCTATCTCTGGACTACAATTTCGCTACTTGACCCTAATAAGTACTATGTCTTAAGCATAATTTTGGTATTTGTCTAATTTCTTAACTGTACAGGACTCCAACGGATAAGGATACCCAGCTAGTTGAGTCCTACTAGGAGAATACCACCTACCTCTATAAATACAATAGACGGGGGCATTGTTCAGGTACGTTCTCATTATTTTTTAGTTTATAGCCTCACACATATATTTCCCTTTCTGACTTAAGTATCGGAGGGGCGACGAGAACACACATCGTTGCCTTTGTTTCAAGTATCGGAAGGCCGCGATCATGCTCATTCAGAGTCTTCAAGCTCGGAGATTCAGCAGGTACGATATTTGGTAGTATCATTGGCGCCGTCTGTGGGAAACGCTACCAAAAGCCATGGTTAACACTCGATCAAGTCTTCCTCCAGCAAGCTCATCTGTTCCCAATCCTAATCCTCCTGAAGACCAACCGACTCCTCAAGAAGAGTCGTCAGAAATACCTGTGCCCCAGCCAGCAGTTGTCACGGCTGGAGCCTTTGAAGAGCTCCGTCAACAGGTGGCCACGTTAAGTCAGCTACTAAGTCAAAGAAATTCGCATTTGTCACCAGTACCGGCAAAACATGATGGATTTATAAATGATGCTCGAGCTAGAGCACCCAATCCCGCAACTGGCGATGGAATAGGAACCTCGGGTGTACGTAATGTGGCCTAGGGCTCGAGATCGGTGACTATGGATTCTGGTGAGATTGCTCGGATTATTTAAGAAGGAATTACAGCTGGCCTTCTTCGAAATGCTCGGGGGCCAACCGGTTTTACCTCGAACACTCCATTTACGCCGGAGATATTGTCATATCCTCTGCCTGACAGATTCAAGTATCCTCGTATTAAAGAATATGATGGGACGACTGACCCGATCAATCATCTCAATGTGTATACCGATGTGATGAATTTACAGGTTGCACCGGATCAAGTGATGTGCAAGGCCTTTCCACAAACACTGACTAATGTCGCTAGGGATTGGTTCTCAACATTAGAGCCCAATTCCATAGCCTCATTTTCAAACTTGGCCGATAAGTTCTATGCCTTTTTTGTAAGTAGTAGGCGCATCAGGAAGACCGCGGCCTCTCTCATGCAACTACGCCAAGCATTGAATGAAACCCTACGAGGTTTTATGACAAGATTTAATAAGGAAAGACTTCAAATACCCGACCTTCACATTACAACAGTAGTTTCTGCCCTCACCTATGCCAAAAGGTGTGAGGCCTTCAAAATGTCTTTATCAAAGACCCCACCATAGACAGTGACCAAGCTCCTTAACCGAGCTGAAAAGTACATTAATATGGAAGAAACGTTGAATCCAAGGAGAGCTGGTCATTCTCATGAAAATGTCAAAAATAAGAGGCAACATGATCCCGTCCCCCGACACGAGCTTCTTCGGGATAAGCACAGGAATGAGGCGCTGTCAGCACCTCTCCGTTGAACACCTCTAAGATAAACATCTTGATGGAGATTAAGGATATGAAAGAATTGAAGTGGCCTTCAAGGATAAAGTCAGCCCCTGACACAAGAGATAGGAGTAAGTATTGCGAATTTCACCAGGATCATGGGCATACCACAAAGGATTGTCATGCTTTACAGCGAGAAATTGAAGCCCTTATCAAAAGAGGATTTTTAAAGAATTACGTCGGTCAAGATAAACGCCCAATGAATGATCGTGACAGGCGCAATGACCCAAGGACGGGAAGCAGTGTTCAACCCACCACTGGGACAATTAATATAATCATTTGAGGCATAGCATCTGGGAATAATGGGCAGAAGCAATATGCCCGACAGCATGCTCATACTTCGAACGGATTCCATGATAAACACGAGGACATAACTTTTGGAGCAAAGGATTTGGAAGGAGTGTTATGTCCTCATGATGATGCCTTGGTTATCTCGACTGTCATGGCCAATTTTGAAGTAGAGAGAATTTTGCTAGACAACGGAAGTGCAGCAAACATACTCTCTCAGGGAGCTTTCGCAAAGATGGGGATATCCCCCAATCAACTCAAGGCAGTAACAACTCCGCTTCAAGGTTTTGGAGGTGGTATCATTGTCCCAGGAGGCATTGTTGACCTTCCACTTACTCTGGGTTCTAACAAAGCACAAGTGACGGAGATAACGCCCTTCCAAGTGGTTAACACTCCTATGACTTACAAAATTATCCTGGGAATGCCCCTACTAAACAAGATTCAAGCCATTGTATCCACTTTTCACCTCGCCATGAAGTTTCCAACGAGTCATGGCATCGGAATAGTTCGAGGAGATCAAATAGCTGCAAGACAGTGCTATGTCACTAGCATCCAAGGAATAAGTACCGACGTTATGCAACTATCAGACCTCGAGCTCGAGCCCAGAGGTAGGCTCGCCCTAGTTGAAGAATTGGAGGTGGTCGAGCTTGAGCATGGGAAAACGGTGACTATTGGTTGGGATCTCAACGCCAGCCTCAGGGAAGAAATCATCAGTTGTCTGTCCCGCAACATTAATATTTTTGCATGGAAGGTCGAGGATATGCCAGAGATAGACCGTGAGGTCGCAGCCCATAGACTCAACATAAGTCTAGGGGCCAGACCAGTTAAGTAAAGGAATAGACAGTTTGCGCCGAAAAGGTGAGAGGTTATTCAGGAAGAGGTTGGCAGACTTGTAAGAGCAGGATTCATAAAGGAAGTCCAATACCCTGATTGGTTCGCTAATAATGTTCTTGTGAAGAAAACTAATGGTAAATGGAGAGTCTGCATTGATTTCACAGATCTCAACAGGACATGCCCTAAGGACAACTCCCCCTTCCCCAGGATAGACAATCTTGTGGATAGCACATCCGAACATAAGTTGTATAGCTTCCTAGATGTATTCTCAGGGTATCACCAGATTCTTATGGCTAAGGAGGACTAGGAGAAGACTTCTTTCATGGCTGATTCTGCCATATATTGCTATAGGATCATGCCATTTAGGTTGAAGAATGCTGGGGCAACATATCAGAGACCAATCAACAAAATCTTTGCTAATTTGATAGGGAAGAATATTGAGGCCTACGTTGAAAACATGGTGGTAAAGAGCAAGAAGGTAGAAAGACATGTATTTGATCTCGAGGAAGTGTTCGCCACCTTACGAAAATATAAGATGAAGCTCAACCCAGAGAAGTGTGTATTCAGCGTAACTTCGGGAAAGTTTCTGGGTTTCATGATCAGTCATCGGGGGATTGAGGCCAACCCTAATAAGATTCAGGCTTTGGCAGCAATGGAATCACCAAGGACCAAGAAAGAAGTTCAAAAGTTGATAGGTAGGGTAGCCGCCTTAAGCAGGTTCATGTCCCGAGCAGCAAATAGGTGTTTCCTCTTCTTCAAAGCCCTCAAGGGTAATCATTGCTTTAAATGGAATGAGGAGTGCGAGAAGGCTTTTCAGGAGCTCAAGCAGACGTTGGAATCTCCTCCTATCCTCACTAAACCCGAGCCCGGGGATACTTTGTATTTGTACTTAGTCGTGTCTCAG